AATCGTGGTAACAGGAGCTCTCGTGAACTCAAGACGGGAATAGTTTCAGGAAAAGAATGGAATGGATCTGCAGGGGTCGATATTGGCGGTCCAGGTCCGGAGTGCGAGTCATTGTCGTACTCGAACTCATCTCCAGGCCAGACATTTGCCCGAGCCTCTTCACTGCCAGAACTGACGATGCTGTCGGTACTCCATGCATCCGCAGCCCATTCACCGCTGGAGGCACTTTCCGACGGAATCTCGTCTGACCTAAGCACTTGCCGTACAAGTAGGCCGACGATGTGTTCCATGTCCATGTCCCCACGGGCTGTCGAATCACCATCACTAACCTCTCCACTGTTTCCCTCAGGTGAATCAATGGTCTCATGTGCGGAGCCTCTATTGATAGCTGCAGGTGACATCTGCCCTTGTGGCGTGGGCGTCTCAGGCCGCTGTATTGATGCCTCGGCCGTCAACATGGAAGCTGGTTGAGTGTCGTCTTGCTCAGGTGAGTCGTCCCAAAGTCGAGCAGACGGGGGAACATCAGAGCTGGGGCTCCGGAGATAATGGATAGCAATGTTAGACCGCTGATCCCGGTCATTGGTGTATTCCAGACGACCATTGTCGTACGAAATACTTGCTCGTATTGGGTAGAGGAAGTCGGTGCCCAGGAGTAACTGATAGTTGAGGGTGGTACTGACGAACGGACTCAGCAGCATCGTTAGGTCGCCAGTAGACACTTGCAGTTCACTGACACGTCCAGCAGCCCGACCACGATTGCCATCCGCATTCAGGAACGTCACCTCCGTCTCCTCCATCAGGTGTAGAAGATCTAAACGCTGTAGTGTGTCTCGTGTAACAATGCTATGAGAAGCCCCAGAATCGATGACAGCAGGGACGGGAACTTGTCCTCCATGCCCATCAATTATCCATACAGTAGCTTTGCAAACTTGCCAGGTTGGTACGACGGCATCAGACTTCCAGGCGGGTATTGTTGAAGATGGTCGCTCTGAAAGAGAAGCTTGCATGGTGCCTGCTGTAGGCCTCGCTGGACCAAACATGGGCCCAGGCTGGGGGTTGCCAGTGCTGGTGTGCTGACGAGCCAACCCAAGGACTCGGCTGCCAACCTTCGTGTAGATGCTGATAGGGTTGCATCATAGAGTTGTACTCAATGGTAGTGCATACTTGTTGATCTTATGAATGATGTCCTCAGCAATACGCCATTCTTCTTCTTGTGGGTCCGCAGGAATCGGATCGGTGCGGCTGCCAGACTCAGCTACTCGTCGGCGGAGACGAGGTTCAGCACTGGTGATGCCTCGCTGGGCTGGGACGGTACCTCTGGTTGCGGCAGTACGCTCTGGAGGTGGTGCACCCGGGGCTGCTGGCTCCTGTGGCTGATGAGCCTGGGTAGCCATAGCCGGGGCATTCAGGGAAGCCAACGGTGTCACCATGGGTCGTACAATGCCTATACGCCCGGTAGTAGCAGGCCGAGGCGCCTCCTGGCCAGGGGTAGGCGCCTCCTGGCCAGGGGTAGCCGTGGGGCGCTTGCGGGGAAGTGGCATAGGCTCAAAATCGGCCACACGCTTGACATAGGCGGCTGGTGGGGCAGTCGGCTGGAAACAAGAGTAGATGTCCGGATGCTCCATCTGAGACAAATGTGGGTCTTTATGGGGAGTGTTATCCCTTTCCCACAATTGTATATTAGGGTTGCGCTTCAGCAACAGGGTTAATCGTGACAACTGGCGAGCGATGTCGTCAACTCATGACTCCAGGGGTTCATTCTCTGGGGGTGTCGAAACCTTAGGTTTTGGGCAACTATGCCAGGGAGCATTCCCAGCGGGCTTCTGCTCTGGTTGCCGTGGTCCCATGGGACGTTGTGTAGCCACTGGAGTTCGGGGACCATCCGGTCGTGAGCCACTAGGGGTCGGGGAATCAGGCATGTTACCACGAAGGTCGCCGTGACGGTTTTCCCAGCGCGGGGTAGCCCGAGAAGGATGGCTGTGGAAATCCATATCACATGTGCGCTGAGGGGGAAACGGTTCGTAGTGGCCAGCCACATCCTGGCGGTCCAAGCCCTCGTTGATATAGATGGCACATCGTACGGCGTCTTCAAAGCTAGATGGTCACATGAGGAAAACCTTGTTGTAAACCTTGAGTTGTAGTCCTTGTAAGAAGTTATGCATGTGGATGGGGTCGTGTTGCGTGTCCACGCCCAGTTGTGCAGCTAGGTCGCGGTAGCGGTCAGTCTGTACTGCTTCACCCCGTTCTTGCCGACAATGAGCTAGTCGGCTAAACAACTCTTCTTGGGTCGGATTGAATCATTCCAGAAACGCGGCCTTAAAGCTAGGCCAGTCGGGAAGAGACGTTTCCATGCCCGCTTGCCAGCAGATGGCCTCATCTCCTAGGCGGCAGATGGTGACGTCCAGCTGAGCCTCTTCACTCCAGCCGTACATCCGACCACATCTCTCAACCCTGGCGACCCATTGCCGTGCACTGTCTCCCAGCCGGAAGATAGGCACAGACGAGACGCTCGAGGGATGGGTGTGTGTGATAAAGTGAGATTGATGTTGGCTCTCCATGGCGTACAAGTTGTACAACCAGTGGGACGCCAAATAGACTGTTCAAAAGTAGCTAGAGACAGGGCTGAAAACCCTAGTCTCGATACCAGCTGCACCGTGGCGGGCGACACCCGGCGGCAGCCCAAAAATTTTCGCATTTGGGGGAACCGCTGGATGGACACACCGGGGCGCCCAGGATCGTTTATAGAAAGGAATCGATACCAGTAGATTGTCTTAAGCGAGATAGGATCGAGGTTTGTGTGGGCGAGCGGAAGCAGAATCAGAGTTTCATCCTGAGACTGAAGGCCCAGGTGTGGTTGTGAGCCTGGTGTGAGCAGAGTTTTACTGCCTCTTGGCCACTAGGCCCAATGTCAGGTTGGAACCTGGTTGGCTGTTGACAAGATAAAATGGGTGGGAGTCATCCACGCCAAGTGAAGGCGATACCCGTTACAAACTGCCTTGGCCGGTGCATCCTGCTACCGTGCGCGGGAGTTGTATGATTGGAATATCCCTCAGAAAATATTGGTCAGGCCACGCCTTATATATGGCAAACGCGCCCGCCATTCGTACAACTGTCGTATGGTCAACGTAAGATGCAGCTACCCTTTTCGTGCAGCAACTGCTTCATTACACAACGGTAGCTAACAGTTTATGCAGCTCCGGGCCAGGTTCATGGCGGCCAACGGAAACTGAGAAGAAACTAGTACCGGATATTTGTCATAGAACATTTCTCAGACCGAAGCTAGATCGTAAGACACAAACCGCCTGCTTTTATGTCACCAGATCGAAACATACATTCGTCAGTCTTTATGCGGTGCACCGTAAGTATATGACCGTTCTCAACGCGTTTATAGTTTCTAATTAATGATATGGCAATATTCCGCCTCCTGCTATGCCCGGAACAATACGCAACCAAAGCCGTCAAACTCAGTTCTCTATGACCAGCTGGAAGTCGCTACAACGCCATTCCGGGACTGGCCGCGCCATTCCGGAACTGGCTGTACGACTCATGAGATGGCTGCATCCACGCTATTTACACGGACAAAACTCTTCCAATCGGTGTCTTCCAACACCACCATCCGGTTGTGTTTGGATAGATTTTCAGTATCGGCAGGCGGCTGGCAGAGATTAAGGCCTGACTTCTACTCCTGGAGAGTGCGGGTTCAAGTCTGCAAGCCAACTTTTTGGGTGTTCGAGAAGTGTTGAAATGGCCCCCCATCTTATGGACGTTGTAGGACCTCATAATATCAGCTTGCGAGCTGACCAGGAACTAAGTTGAGGCACCGTCGATCAGCTAGATTTGGTCGGATGCAGGTGGTGAGTTATTGAACCCACTGAATACATTCTGGGGTAAATGGATTAAGGTTGCTACAGGCTGCTCCCGGCCGACCCGGGTTCAAATCCGCCTGCCGGCCTCTTGGGTGTTTGAGAGATGATGAAATGGGAGGTGGCCCCCCATCTTGTGGACAGTGTAGGACGTGATAAAATCAACTTGCGAGCTGACCAGGAACTAAGTTGATGCGCCGTTGATCCGCTAGATTTGGTTGGATGCTGGTGGTGAGTTGCTGAACCCAACGAATACATTCTGAAATCGGATGGGGTGAATGGATTAGGGTGCCCCTCTCGCAGGGGAGAGCAGGGACTGCCTCGGGAAAGGGGGCCACTGGCGAAGTAAACCACCATGTAACAATGTACATACTATATCGGCTCGTGAGTCCTGCATTACTTGTATGATTGCTTGGGCAAGGTGTTGGAACGAGGGTGCCAAAAGCCTTGGTGACGGCAAATATTTTCGTGCAGCTGGTTGGTTTAAGTGAACCATGTAAGATTCGTCCGACATCAAGTGCGGTGATACAACACAACCTATGCTACCCACCTATGCTACCCGCCCCTCCTCCTTTCATCGCCTCGTCTGTGCTAACAACTCCATGACAGACTAGGCGAGGGCTATAGCATACATGCATAAGTGTAAGGCTTCTCATAGTATAGGAAAAGCAAAGACAGCTAGCGCGGGTGCGAGATGCCCTTATCATGATCGATTATGTATGTATGACAGTGCATGTGTACGTAATGTACCTGCGATAGGTGCACACGCACCAGCTCTTGACCATACTTTGACTCCATAAGCACCAGCATCGGTAGCCTGCCGACCTACGCATCAAATTGGCAATATCCACACATATCGGACATGTACGGAGCTTTAAATCGGGCTGAGGCATGTACGGCCTAAAAATAGACATATGTATTGAAGGCCAGGGCACAGGATGCAATGAAGGCAGGTGGTTCACCCTCACTTCACAAACAATGGTGACCAACCGTGCCGGTCAACATGCAGCAGGGTCAACGTTACTTTTGGTGGGTCTGTTAGTTTGCCCAGGTAGTGTCCCACACATGTGGGTAGGCTCTAGTACATGCATACACTGCTTAAGGAGAGCAGCTCGTGTTGCAGCACCCTTTAACATAATGCTGTGGCAGGTGCGGTGGCCCAGATCGAGACAAACGCAAGTGCATGCTGTTAGGACGTGTTCACATGTGGGCGAATCAGGGTTGATTCATGCGAATTGGACTCTGAATTGGACCTGATTGGACCCGAATCGGAATTGGGGTCCGGGGGGGCCTCTTCGGGTATGATTCGACGTGATTCACAGTTTTCTTTCTCAAAACAAAGTTGTTTAACAAACCGTTTCTCATAATTACCATTACAATACTATAGGAACATTTTCCAATTGTTAATTCACGCAAAGCGCACCGAGCATTTTTCACGCATGCAGCTGCTGGCCGGGGATGAGGAGGAGTGAAGTAGCTAGGGATTCAAGTTGTTCGGTTGGCATTGGTAGCAGTCTATGTCTGCTGAACTTGGCCAGCATGGGATCTTGATGGCATACCATGTCGGCTTTTGTGCATTGCCAGGGCTTAGGAATGATGATCTGGGCCCTGATTCGTTGAAACCTTAACCCTTAGGATATGGAGTTAAAGAAGCATCAAAGGGATAAGCGCCTGTGACGTGTACTCGACCGTCCAGTGCGCCATCGCATGCTTTGACCCATGGGAATACTGCGGCGGAGTATAATGGCTTGTTTCTGTCGTGCAATTGTGCTTCGCAACGTCCCAAAACTTAATTATTATAACAAATAGGGGGGTCCTTGTGAAGCAGCTGCCCGCGTTTCCAAAGCACGTATGGTGTTGGATTGTAAGGTGCCCAAGTACGTTTGCGAGGAAGAGGATGTGGCCAGGCTGGAGAGGAAAGTGCAGTGGCATATTGGAATGTGAGATTGGCGCACGGGCGAATTTACGTGTATACCTTTCACCGTAGCATCAGTCCTCAGTTCACTTTTTGGAACGAACATCAGCATAGGTCCAAGCCCTCTCGCTTGGAGGGATATGCAAACAAACATCCTGATAGGGGTAAACTCGCACGCTACCGAGCATTCAACCGAGCACATGCATGCTTAGTTGAATGGTGAGATGCGACCCCCCCCCTTCATTTCGTGCTCGGCAAGCCTCCCACCGCGTACCGGATATGTTAGCGATGTTACAGAGACGCTGCACCTTGGTTTCTGTGCGCAATGCGTACGCTGCTCGACCCCGCCGACCAAAACTACACGTGCCCAACTGAAGACATTCCCGGTGGTTGTGCAGCAGCTCTTGAGGCTGTTGCTGGCTGAAATCCATCCTGAGCTGTTGCAACACGGCTAACGCGGGCACGTCCCTATGCACAGCAAATAGCTGTTCCAAGCCAACAGCGGCGTCCATGTCACCGACAAGGCTCTAAACGTCTATCTGTTCTTATGTTAAATTAAGTTTATGTATGTTATACTTTGCGCAACTTTGTAATTTGACTTTACTCTGAACAAGGTGCTGCATACAACTGCCTCTTCGCCAGCGCTTCACCTTCCGCGGCAGTTTCACGAGCCCAGAGTTGCAAGCTACGACGTTGGCTTTCGTTGCTTTTAGTTACTGCAAAGCAGCCACGCAATAGTCCAGCCTGCATGCCGCGTGCGACTATGGCCAGCAAGACCACCTGCGCAATGCGCTGGCGCACTCCAAGAAATTTATATACACTTGTACAGGCGCATTTTGAGAATCGCACGCGCGCATCTGCGCGGCAAAATTCGCTCCTGACTTTTTTGGGACGATGTACGAACTGTTTTCTCGCGAAGTACGACCGGACACATTTGTGCGAGGGGCTGCTTAAATATACCATACAGAATCATCCTACAAAGTTTCAGAGCCAGTCATGCATTTCCCAGAAAGCTGCCAAAACTTGAGATTAGAATCTAACCCATTCTATTGAGATCTAATGAGATCTCAATAGATTGAGATGAGAAGACTTCCGCTTCTAAACCCAGGGGATACCCTAGTCATAACCTAGCGTAATTATTTCATCCGGTGTCTAGGCCATTCGTAGCCAACGAAACACTGGCGGCGAGCGCGCGCCGACGGGCGTCATGGTTACCGGAACGCTAGTTCCTTTCGGCATGTATGAACCTGCACAAAGACTTACGTCCTTGAAACATATTCATTATGCGTAATATTGGCCCCGGGTAAGAACATCCCAAGGGAAGGCGGCCTGGATAACTCTTGTCAATGAAAAGTACCTTCCGACCACCCCATAAGCGCCGACATCCTTCCCCCTTGATGTGTCGAAATCCCCCCGGACACACCCAGTACTTAATTAACGCGCCAGAAGGATTTGCTCGACTGGTCTTGGAGCACCGATGCCGGCCCGGCCCGGGCCTTCGAGCGCTTTTCCTCACCGACTTGTCCCAGGCAGCGCAGGTACGACAAGAAGTCACACTACCAGCTAATTAACACAGAAATCCTGCATGTGTATGTATGTATGTATGTGTGTGTATGTATGTATATATATATGTATGTATGTATGCGACAAACACACACCCCATGAGGGAGCCGCTTGAGGAGGGGAGGGGATGACAGCAGTATATAGTAGCAGGCTCCTCTCTCTTCCCTTCCCTCCGTCTATGCGTGGAGTGCGAGTCTTTCTATCTCTGGTATCAACATCACTCGCCCTGTGTTCCATCTCCATCTTTAAACAACCCCCCGCCCCTCAGGGCTGGCGGTTGTGGTGGTTGTGATCGGGGGTTAAGATGAACCACTGACGTTTGAAGCAGATACCAGAATAGACTGATAGTGGGGGGGAGATGGGGGGGAAAGCACACACACACACAATCACGTTCTCACAGACACCCATTGGGTTTTAGTCCTTCCCCGGCGCCTCACACCTGTGTATCGCCTGGTGCGCCCCAGCCACACACCCCACCCCCCTCCCTCCCTCATTCACTCACACACAAAAAAACACACACACGAGGGGGGGGAACTCTCATCGGACGAACCTCCCCTCCGGGGAGACCTTCAACCCCGCGAGGAAGGGAAGGTTAACCGAACTCTCTATCTCGCATTACTGCTCTCCTTTCCCCACAACCACCTTAACCACCTTAACCACCTTAACCACCACAAACCGCAGGGCGGCCTAGGTGGCTTACTGCTCAGGTTGCGCCAGGACGGCCATGCGGCACTTCGGCTTGTGGGACCGGCTGGTATGTACGGAAACTGGTACAGTACGGCAGCTTGCTGTACGGGATGAACCCTGTAACTCGGGGCGTTTCAGGTCGCGAGGGGCCCCCTCGAGGGAGAAGATGGGCTCTGTGGCATCTGAAACCCAGAACGTGTCACACGCGACACGACGCGTCGCTAAACACATGGCACGTGTCCGTGCCTACCCGCCCCACCTCATATGGCCACATTGGTTGCCCCCACGACAGGCCTGTACGACACCGTGGAGGGCCTGTCGTACTTTGTACGGTGCACGCATCCTGCGCTGGAGCTTACGATGCTGACGTCCGCACAGCAGGGTTGTGTGTACGACGACGAGTGTTTGGAAGTACGGCCGGTCTGGCGGAACTCGCTGCTGTGGCAGGTACCCCCCTGGCTCAGTACGGCAGATCTGGCCCCGGGATCAGCAAGCGGTGGCGCCGCGGAGGCCCAACAGCGGTTTCGGAGCTCTGCATGTAATCCTGCGAACGTAACCGCAGCTCCGGAACCATTTGGCGACGGTGGCGGCGACGGCGTGATCGGGCCGGAGGAGGGGGCCGATGGAGATTCGGATTGGATGCTCAACGCGCGGCCACGAAAGCGAAAGAGGCCGCGGCGACGTCAGGGGGGTGGAGCTCGCTTAGGCGAGGCACTAGGCGTGGCTGGGGCTGGGGCCCCGCAACAAAGAACCGCAGCCGAGGACGGGTCTGAGGAGAGGCCGCTGCCGCCACGGAGGAGTCGGCGGCTGTACGACAGCAGTGGCGGAGGCGCCGACGTCGCTGTCACGAAGAATCCGGGGCAGCTCAATAGCAGCAGAAGCAGTAGTGAGGATGAGGCGAGGGCGGGGGAAAGGTGGGGGCAATGCCGTGCCTAGGCACACTGCCATCTTTGCATGCGCTCCGTGCCTCAATCCAGAGGGCTTCGGCGGCGGCGGCGGCCCTTCGTGCGGCGTGCGACACTGTATCCCGAGGGAAAGAAGAAGCGCCGCGATCGGTGTCGGAGGTGTCGTGGGATTTAGGATCCTGCAGTACGGCAAGTACTACCGCCTGCGACAGCAGGGAGGAGGCGGAAGAGAGCCTGAAAAGAACAAGCGGCGGTAGCGGCGGCGGCACTGGCAGCAGCAGCATTAGCAGCAAGGGTGGAGTCCCTGAGAGTGGTGGAGATAGCAGCAGCGATGCGAGTGACGGCGGAGGTACGCGGAGCGACACGAGGGCGGAGGTACGCGGAGCGACACGGAGGGTGATGGCGATAGCGATGAGGGTGCGGCGGCAGCGGCGGCGGCGCTGGATCGCGGCCGTCCTGGGAGAAACGGCACAGTCGCCGCTGCTACTGCAGCTGTTACCGCAGCGGCGGCGGGAGCTGGCGGCGGGAAGCTGCACAGCAGTAGCAAGATACGGGGTGACCACCTGGACCTGTTTTCTGAATTGGATCGTTTGTTCATGGCCAGCGGCCCAGTGGAGCGTCGTCCAGCGGGGGTGTACGGAGTCGTACGACATGGTCGCGCGGCATCAGGCGGAGGCGCTGCCGCCGCCAGGCGCAGCGGTCGTGTGCTGGCTGCAGCTGTCGGCGGCGGCGGCGGTGGCACGGCGGCGGTGCCGCCACCGCCGCCGCCGCCAGGACCTGCGGCAACTTTGACCTCGAAGGTGGCGCTGCGGTCGCAGGTTCTTGAGCGCCTTAGATCCGCGGTCGGCGGTCATCACCTGGAAACCAGAGCTACGCTGCCGCCGCAAGGTGTACGGCGTACGGCGGCAGCAGCGGCGGCGGCGGCGGCAACCCCTAGCAGCACCGTCGCCGCCAGGTGGATGACGCTGCCAGGGCTGCAGCCGCCGCCGCTGTCGTCAATGCGACAACCGCCGCCACCGGTGCCACAACCGCCACCACAGCCAAGCAAGGCCACCCGGCCGCCAGACGACAACCCGCTTGCCTACCTCCTCTACCCGAAACACACCCGTCAGGCGGTGTTGGTAGTTGCCACCGGCGACTTGGCTGCCATACGGTCGCTGGCGGCTCACCCCGTGTCGAAGCTGCTGCACCGAGCGCCGTCGGGGTTACTGCTCGCGGTAACGCATGTGGCGGCGGCGGCGGTGACGTGGCAGGGGCGGTACCGCCAGCTGGCGGAGCGGCAGCTGCCCGGGCCGCACGTGTGGCTCAAGCCTGCCGCCACCGCGGCGACGATGACGGTGGCGGCGGTGGCGGCTGTGCCGCCGCCGCCGCTGGCAGGACTTGGCCATTTGGGTTCCGCTAGGGTGACGATGCGGCTCAACACGGTGGCACCGGCCATCTTTCCGTTGCCGTACGAGCTGCGTGTACGGCAATGTGCGGCGGCGGCGCGACGTGGCGTGGCGAATGAGGACGTTGGGGAACGTGGTGTGGACGCTGTGGACCTGCAGCTGGAGGACAACATTGCTGCTGCCGCCGCCGCCACCGCCGCCACGGCGGCGGCAGCGGCGGCCGATCCAACGGCGGCGGCCGCGGCAGTGGAGCCAACGAAGCCGGCGGCGTTGCGCGAGGTGGTGCCCAATGCTGGCGACGAGCCTACAGGGCCCAGCCCCCAGCCGTTACAGGGGCAGGGGCAACAGCTACAGCCGCCGCCACGAGCGCTGGCGGAGCCGGGAGATCAGCCTCAGCTGCAGCTCATTGCGGAGCGTGAGGAGCCGCGGGAGGGCACTGAACCAGCAGCTACAGCCACAACGGTGGTTGGTAACGGGCACGTGGCGGCGGCGGCGGCCGTACATCGACCGATGGGTCGCAAGGCCAATGGCGACCGCCGGGGGGCTGATGGGATCATCACGCAACACCGCAACGCGGCCAAAAGCCGTGTCGCGTCGCTGCTAGATACGCTGATGGCGACGTGCGTTGTTGTACAACATGGCGGCGGCGGTAGCGGCGGCGGTGGTGGGGGCACCGGAGGAAAATCCCAGGGCTTCTCAACTTCCGACACGGACGACGACAGCAGTAGCAGTAGTGGTAGCGGTAGCAGTAGCGACGGAGAGCAACAGAGGCAGCAGCAGATCCAGGAGGAGGAAAAGAAGCACGAGTGTCATCAGGAAGCGGCGGCGGTCCTGGTGCATTGGTGGGATGACGGCCCGGGCGATGGCGGCGGCGGCGGCAGGCTGGGAAACGAGGCGGCGGCTGTGGCGGACTTGGTTCCGGAGCAGATGCTTCCACCGGTGGCGGAGGTGCAGCGGAGGCCGTTGTTGGAGAGAAGAGATACCGGGTTGTTGCAGATGTTGCAGGTGGGCGCGTGTGTGTGGGTATGTATGTAGGTAGGTGAGATCGTTGGATGCGGGGATTGTATGTGAGGAGCAGCAGCAGCGGGATGAGGGGGAGGGTGAGGAGAAGGAGGGGGAGGAAGTGCCCATGCTGTGTCCGCGTTGGTGTTGGCTGTAACGAGGTCGTTAAGGGGGGTGCAGGGTTTTCCGTTGGGTTGGTTGGTTGGTTGGTTAGGCGGGTTTTCGCTCTCTTCTCCTTAGACTTAGGGTCTTAGGGTCTCCTTAGACTTAGACACCATCCTAATGCTCACTTACCTTCCCCTCCCTTCCACCCCCGCTCCGAAACCAACGAACGTCCCGGGCGGGCCAACCGCTTCGCCATGGGCGCGTGGCTCAACATGCTGGACGTACACGTGCGTTTTTGTGTGCTCCATTCGACGTACAAGGCCCTCCGTCGTACATTCCCGCACCTGACACGCACGGCAATGGCTCAGCGATTCCTCCTCAACCAGCAGCCGCCCCGGCAGGGGGCGAGGGGTCCACAAGTCTCAAGCAGGGACATATCCCCGGAGGATATCACCCACCGGCGGATGGACCAGTCACCATCAGCAGCCTTCCAGCAGCAACAGCAGGTCTCGCAACATCATCAGCCGCAACACCAGCTGCAGCAGCAGCAACAGCAAACACATTTGCAGATGGAGCGGCACCAACAACATCATAATTACCAACAACATCATAATTACCAACCCGCCGGCCACTGGGCGAACGGCGGCGGAGGGGGACGTACGGCGGGTGGCAGCAGCAGCGGCGGCGGCGGCTTGACGGCAGAGGAGGAGCTAGCGGCAGCCGCGGCGGCGTACGGCACGCCGGAGCATACCGGCGGCGTCATGCGGCCGTCATACTCTTACGCATTGTACCCGGAGAATGAGCTCCGTGCCCTCCCGCTGGCCGCACCCCCTGTCTTTGGCTGGCAGTGCGGCAGCAACGTCGGTGGCGGTGGCGCCGGCGGCGGCGACGCTGTACTGCATTCTCTGCGTCGAAATAGCGACGTGTACGGCAACCGACTGCACTCGCCGTGGCCAGCAGCTTCGCATGGCCCTCATGGCGCGTGGACCGGCCAACCAATACCGTTGCCGTGCTTAAAATCGCGTTAGGTCGCGTTAAACTCGCGTTAAATCCTCGTAACGCGAATTTAACGCGACGTAACGCGATCACCCGTTGTCATAGTGGTAGTACGGCACGCACTAATAATACATATACACGCTAAAGCGCAATTCCAGCATCTATAGAGGCCTTTCCAGCGGCCAGCTACTACCAATATGCCACGTGGCATGCGTGAAGCTGACAGACGTTTGTAGCGGACCTAACAGGCTGGGGCCTTGGGCCCCACCGACAGTATCCTACTACGGCAGGAGTGCTAGAGATTCGTCCGGCAGGTAGGCCGAGATATGAGCTTCTTCACCCAGGCAGGATGCTCTAGCCAGACACTTAAGTATTACGACTACTTGGTGTTCGGAGGTCAAGACTCTGCTGCCGCCGGTCTAGTTATACTGTACCTGTTCTGTATTCTAGTGTCTGCTGCTGGGCTGGACTTCTTCCCGTCTCTTCGAAGGCGATCTGCTCTACACTTCCGCAAGGCCAGTCGTCTGTAAAGGTGAGTGACTGCTACACCTTGCCTTCCACTGCCGTGCCGCCCGGTGCACATGCTGCCACTGCCGCCAGCTGCGTAACTCATTGTTATTCTCCCATCACTACACTTGCCCTTGGGATGTCCTGGTTGGACGTCTGCATTGGCTTTCTGTCTATGTCGACCGCGGCCGTGTGTGAACTGTGTGGGAGCCTCTCCCAGTTCCATCCGTCACCAGCCGAAATGCTGTACCCCGCGAGTTGCGGTCAAAGCTGACCCTAAGTGTGCCTCCCCGCAGCCACCACCTCCATTCGAGTGCACCTTTACCGGTTCGGTGAGCTGTCTCGGCAGGCTCTCTCCTGGATTCTGCCGCCACTCAATTGTGGACTTGCTGGGCTATCGTGCAGCTGTAATGGTGCTCAACTTGCACCCTCGCTGCCTGGGCCTCCACCATGCTGCCTTCAGGCTGCACCACCTTCACATGCCTGAGCCTTCTTCAGTTAGACAGGCCTCCTCTGCGAGCTGCCTTCATCCACCGTCACTGCTACTCCAGTGCTGTCTTTCACAGGTGGAAGTTGCGACCTCACGATCGTGGCCTTTACACTGCTAATCACATACCCGTGAGCCAGTGTTTTTTTTCCGTTTTGGGCCTAGTACCCTAGAGTAATAAACTGGGTGTTTCTTGCGGTTACTATTCCTATTTTAGTCGCTGGGGGGGGCTGCATGCCCCCCAGACCCCCCCCCTCAAAGGCCTTACGGTGTGCTGTAAGCAACACCTGA